CTCCGATCTCTCTCTCATCTCCCCTCTTTCCACTCGCCGAAGCGGCATCACCCGTGATGCTGTCGTCGCCGCTCCGACATTCGCTGAGATCGCCGATGATGTCTTCGACATTCTCAACGGTGAGCGCTTCTGAGAGAATGCCGGGAAAATTTTGACTGTTCTTCTGGGTTAATGGGGTTTGGCTAGAATATGAACTCTGGGAGCTTGTGGGGACGATTCCTTGTGAAATTTTGTTGTTCGAAGAATCTGGGTTTGGAGAATTTTGTGGACTCGAGATGATTCGTAGTGCCTTGGTAACAATCATCAATAGTGAGATTTTTGTTATTTGAAGATTCTGGGTTTTCCCGGGAACCGAACACAGGGTTCAGCACTAATCAAAAGAAATCATGTTACCTTGTGCATAAGAGATTCGATGTTTTGGTAATATTGTTTGATGTTTTGAAGGGAGAATTTGGGCGGGACACAATATAGTGAGGTTTGATTGTGTCAGAATAAGAGAAGCATTTGCAGAAATCGGCCGATCGCCACCCGAGCCGAAGGCTACAATCGATTCTCTGCCGCTGCTGTCTCGGAAGTTCGGGAAGAGAGCCGGAGACATGAAGGTACTCATTCCATCTTTCCATGGAAAATTCCATCTTGGCAAACTTCAAAACGAGAACTTGAATTGAATTTGGGTGGAGTCCTTAAAATTTCTTGTTACCTCTTTGGCATGATCTTGGAACCCTGAATTAGCCTTGCGTGTTTCTACGTGCAGATGGCGTCTCTGGCTGCGTATTTCGGGCTGGGAGATCAGGCACACAGGTAAACCATTCGTTTCCAATGGGTTTAAGCTATCATCCGCTGTTCTAGAAACGGCTGGCTAACACGGATGTGATTCACTAGGAGCCTAGACGATGTCCGGATGAATCTCGAGATCCTCAAGTACTGTGCTACCGTCTTGTTTCTGGTACACTGTTTTTGCCTTCGAATTTGAATTTGATCTGCATTTCGTGTTCTTGGCAGGACTAGGAAAAAAACCCGAATTTTGGATATCTGAATTCTACTACCGAAATTCGGATATCCAACACTATATGTGAAGCGATCTGGTTATAGTGTGAAGAAAACTGAAAGTCGGGTTTTAGATATATTACATACAAATCTATTAAAATTTCAAGTTCGGATTTCGATAATCCAAAAATCTCAGGTACCCGAATCGCGTTCACCCTTCGTTCATAGTGTCATTTTAACTTTGCTCGAAAGGCATGTAACAATCTTCCATGCACCCTTGATGGAGTTGTGGTAGGGTTGGATATGATCTCGGAGCATGTTTCGTCGTGACGACAATTACTAAACGAGCTAAATACTTAGTTGTTGTGTTACGCAGGAATCCAGCGTCCCGGACGTACTAACCGCTATGAGTTGGTTCTCCCCGAGGACTAGCCCGAGGAGGCGAAGTAACGAGAAGCCGTCGCCTAATGGCATCAAAGCAGCAGTCGATTCTTCCTTCTCGAGCGCAAAACTCGATCTGAATTCGTCTTCTACGGATTCTGAAGAAGGAGAAAACAATCCCATGACTTCTCTTCTGGAACATAGCTCGGACGTAGATTCATCGAAATCAGCTTTTTCAAAGTCATGTGACGCAGATCCATCCGACATAAGCACCCTGTTTAACAAGTTATGCCTCGAAACCCTTCGGGATGATGTTTCACCCGAAGCGAACACTGAGCCACAGCATAGCAATGCCGAGGACAAAGCATTTCTGGGTATGGACGAAGTATCTATACATAGTATCAAGGCGAGACTCGTGCTGTCTTATTTTCGTAACCAGAAAATCAAGCTTTTCCACGACGATGATGCTTTGCAACTCCATTGTCGTGGCTTGAAAGTTCGGTTTGGTATGAGCCAGAAGTTTGTCGATAATGCTGGTCGGCCCAAGTTGAACTTCGTAGTTGACGCACCTCCTAGTTTATGCAAGATCTTGGACGCATCTGACGCTGCTGCACGTAATTTATCGGTTGATTCGGGAAGAAGCTCAGAGTGGAGGCCCGTTATTAACAAGAAAAACGGCTTCGCAACCGCAAGATTGCAGTAAGTTCTAACCTTTCTCTTTCTTCTTTATCGTCTGGAATCATCACCTGATAAGCTCTTATTTGCTTCACAGCATTACCACAGAAGGTAATGGACATGATGCCCAGCTTGGAACCCTACTATACCTGGAAAAACCTACCAAACCAGCCGAAAAGCTAGTTTTCGGCGTCACCGATTTCGAGAAGCTCGAGTCGTTGCTTCTTCCTGGGACCATGGTTGATGCGTTTTTCTCTGTAGATTCATATGATTTTCAGCAAATGGCGGGCATACGGCTAGCAGCCAAGAAGTTGGTAATCCACTCGAAGGAATGATCCGATCAGAAAAAGATCGTCCTTTGAGGTCATTCTCCGAGTCATTGTGTCGTCGCTCCAGTCTCGTAAATGCTTCTTGCATGATGCAAACCCTAGTCACTCTTTGTGTCCAAAACTGTAACTTGTAGCAACTTGTAAGAGATCATTAGCTGTTACAGATAGTTTTTGAAATGATATCGTTGTCTCAGTCATCTCTTTAGTTCAAATGCCAACATAAAAGTAACGAGGAATCCATATATATATATATATTGATTGAACAAAAAAACATTGGAACATATATGGAAAGAATTTCGCAGCTTAAAGTTCTTGCAAACAACAACAGGAAGAGTTGGAACAAAAGAAACATGGCATTTCGGGAGTACAGACAAAACAAAAAATTGCTTTGCAATTGTAATTGTAATTGTAAGTGGTATATTACCTCTAAGTTTCTGCAACAATCTCATCATCTTGTGATCTGATCTGATTTCTCGGACGCTTAGCTCTGTGGTTTGGTTTCTGCTCTGCGGATATCGAACTTGTCTACGTACTCCAACGGAGTCACGGTCTCGTTTCGGATTCTCTTAATCTTAGGGCTCAACAGTCCCCGATGCCCAAAACCGTACAGTTTCAGCACTTGATTGTCCGCGAAATTGAATGCCCTTTCCATACTCTTCAAGCATCTCTCAACCGCGTAATCGGCATAGCTTCCGCACGGTTTGCAACCCACGAAATGCGTAACAAACGGCCATCTCTCGTCGCCTAATCCTGGATGATACTTCTCGATCATCTCCTCGTACCGATCGACTAACCCTTCCCAGAACCCGTGCAAATAGTACTGATTCTCGACGAACACTTTTTCCATCCATTTATCCTTCTGTGAAAGCAGAATATATATCAATGCCGACTGATCATCCGCCTCGAAAGCCGGTCTACCTTTCAGATTAGCCGTCAAGATTTTCCCGGCTTCGTCACGGATAGGCCCTTTCGGTCCCATTGGCGCCCAAGCATCCAACAAATCCAGTGACCATTGGCAATTCCTCAAGAGAAAACTGCCCGTGTTCAGCGCAATCCACGACTTCTGATCGAACAACAAGTCTGGGTACCCGTGAATCACTAGATTATGGTTTGCGTACTTCGACAACGGGATCTCGAACAGTATATCGGTGAACAAAGCATCGCTGTCCATCCACCAGATCCACTCCACTTCAGGATGAGACAGCATCAATCTCCTGATCATAGGTAGTTTTGCCCAATACCCAGCTAATTCCTTGTCCAAATGAGCCATGTTATACACAATCTCTATCCCGTGAAGCCTACAGTAATCGATCTTGTTCTTCACTGATTTCAGCAGATAATGATCTCCAATTGGGTTATCGCAGGGTTTCGGTGGAGATCCAGTTAGAAGCAGGATTCGAGCTTTGCCATTAACAGAATTTGGAAACTCAGGGTTCTGATCGAGCCATACCTTGCGTTGACTGTCCCAGTTCGTGATCTTCGGACCTAGAGTGTATGTGACATTGGGATCGATCCCAGCCTCCAGAGCCTCATCCAAGTCAGTGGGATCCGAATCGGATCGGATCTCGGCGAGAATCCGGTTCGTTTCCTCGATGAGATTCTGGTTGACGGCGTCGGCATTGGAGCTACCGAGATTCCCGACGCCGATCGTGCCGCGAAGCACCAGAATGGTGACGAATCCACAGAGAATCGTGATCTTGATGTTGTTAAACGTCTTCTGGATCTGCCTTCCGCGCGGCAACAACCCACGGCCCCTTCCTCCGTCTCCGTTCGCCGTCACCGTCGTCGGAAGTCCTCCGCCTCCGACGCCGGAGGGCCTCTTGTGCGCCGGCGAACCCTCCTGGCCCATTTCTCCTCCTGCGCCTCACTCTTTCTATCGATCAAATCTCCGTCTCCGACCTGAAACAGGACTCAACGAAGCTAAAAAGCCATAGACGGCGAAAATTCTCCCGCACAGTCTGAGTAGAATTACACACACGGATCCGAGATTCAGATCTATGAGAAGGATTTGGAGGAGGGAGAGAGAGAGAGAGTGTGTGTGGAATCTGATCTGAGGAACCCTAATTAGATTAGATTAAATTAAAGAAAGATTATTAGGATCGAAGAACATGGAGATGTTGTCGGAGTTAAATACATATATTTTGAGTATCCGATACGGATCGAGTTCGATCCTCTAGTCAGAAATGCCGATCGATAAGAGAAACGCGTCGAGATTTCACTCACCGACTACTTTCTATTATTATTAGCAGGGAAAATGACATTTTACTTTATCAAAATGTGACATTTTCCTACACGAATTTTTAATTTGACAAATGTCTACACTCAATTAACAAATTTCCCAAATATCTACACGAATTATCCATTTTTAAACAAATACCAACACTAATTAACAAATTTTCCAAATCGATACACGAATTATTCAATTTAATGCAATTAACTACACAATCCGAAATTATCAATTAATTGCTGACGTGGAAGGCCACGTGGCGGCTCACGTGGCATGCCACGTGAGATTTTTTGCCATGTCAGCGCAAATTAAAAAAATAAAAATTTACCTAAAAATAAAAAATAAAAAATACATATATAAACATATATATGTATTTATATATTTGTATGTATATAAATTTAAATTTCGTATAGATTTTAAAAAGTATATATTGTATAAATTGGAATTTTATACAAATATATATATATACAAATATATTTATATATACATACATACACATATGTAAATATATTTGTATGTATATATATGTATATGTATATATATTTGTATATACATATGTGTGTTTATATTTGTATATATATATGCATATACATATATATATTTATATATTTGTATGTATATAAATTTAATTTTTTTTATAAAATTTAAAAATATGTATATATGCATATATACAAATATATTTATATTTTTTATTTATATTTTTTTTAATTCGCGCTGACATGACAAAAAATCTCACGTGACATGCCACGTGAGCTGCCACGTGGCATGCCACGTGAGCAATTAATTGATAATTTCGGATTGTGTAGTTAATTGTATTAAAATTGGATAATTCGTGTAGGTATTTGGGAAATTTGTTAATTGGGCGTAGACATTTGTCAAATTAAAAATTCGTGTAAGAAAATGTCACATTTTGATAAATTCATGTAGGAAAATGTTATTTTCCCTTATTATTATTATTATTATTTACAGTGGATCGTATTGTCTTTGTTTTCTCTTTTCCAAAATGATATAATTCTCTAACTTTACCCCCAATTGCGAATTAATAAAACAATATAATTGCTATGTAGAGGAAGTGGTAGACGACACGTCAACAAACAACCACTAAATTAATTTTAAACAAAATAATTCCGCAAGTGGCAAAACTTTGTAGTAATTAAAGCCAATGAGCTGAAACGTCGTCGTATTGGTAAGGATAAAATCTGGGCCCTGGCGGTGGGATTTCTAATTTATTCCATTGTCGCAACTCGAGAACGAAGCCTCAGACACACCAAGAAGCTTACACGTGTCCTTTCGCGAAAACGACGTCGTAGAAGCACCAGCTTCACAGTCTCCAGATACTCCTCTCGTGTTGCATCTCCCTTCGCGTAATCATTCGCAAAAAAAGGGGAAAAAACAACAAAAACACATACAGAGATCATCCATGAGCCCATGGTAATGTTCCATCCCAAATAAATTTGCTTTCTTCCAGGTTATTTATTGAGTTTTATGTAGTTGGGTGTTCTTGTTTTGCTCTGTGTGGTTTGCTGCTGTGTTAAAGGTTTAACCTTTCTGTAAGCATGTATGATTTCTGCAGCTCATTGTCTGTCTGATCAATTCCCCCTTCTTGCACAACGATGCCCACAAAAAAGGTATGGGAAATTCGTAATTGATTCAGATGCCAAATCAGAAGCGTTGACCATGCTTAAATCTCCACTTGCTTGTGTTCATATGCGTTTTCTTGTCTGTTCCCTTTTCACAGCTTTCAGAGATCTGAAAAAGGGTAGAAGGAATCAGCTTTGGGGACAAGATTCACCGAGAAAGTTTCCATCTTTGTTGGAAAAAGGAATCGGCTTTTTCTCAGTATCATGTGGAAATTCACTTCCAAATCCATCACAGAGACCTTAAGACAGAGCAACAACATCGACCCGGAACCAAGAAAAGCTCCTCATGATTCTTCGGAGGATGGAACCTTGTTAAGGACAACAAGGGAAGAAGGTTTGGAGTGCCCTGTATGTTGGGAATCCTTCAACGTTATGGAGAATGTGCCTTATGTAATGTGGTGTGGACACACGATTTGCAAGTACTGTCTGGTCGGGCTTCAACGCGCCGTTGTAAAGTTCCAGCCTTTACCGTTCCAGATCCCGTTCTTCGTGGCTTGTCCATGGTGCAACTTACTCTCCTTAAGACTGGTGTACAATGGAATCATCAAGTTCCCTTCCAAGAACTATTATCTCCTCTGGATGGTTGAGGGCATGAACGGGTACCGATCAAAATCGAGAAGGGACAGCATGAACACACCAAGCTTATGTTGTCGCAGAGATGGAAATGACATGTCTGAACCGAGTGATTCGGTTCCAGATGAACTGTCACTCAACAGTGGTGGTGGATGGGATTGGATTATCGAGTTCTTTAGGACGAGGAGGCTCCATGACTCCTTACGTGAGTCAGTGGCTGTGATTTCTCACTTGTTTGCTAAGTTTCCTCTGATAGTTGTATCCCTTTTGATGGCTTTATACGCAATCCCGGCGAGTTCTACAGTGTTAGGACTCTACATCCTTCTCACCTTTGCATTGGCTGTCCCGTCGTTTCTTGTTCTGTATTTCGCCTTCCTGAGTTTGAACTGCTTCATCAGAGAGATCGCGTCGTGATTTTTCCCTTTCCTCCAGGTACTATATATCATACTACTTGCAATCTTCCGAGACTTGTTTCCAGGATGATCTCTTCTGAATTGCTATATTTTCATTTGTTTTGCAGAAGAGACTGTAGCTCTCGGTTTTGGTATTAGTCTCCCACGAAGATTCAATTGTTCAGTTGACGGGGTTTTTCTATTTTGATCCAACCGGAATAGGGTCGGAGGCAAACCTGTAAACATGAAGATACAAAAGCTCCGTATGAACATATAGCAAGATTTTTATTTCACTTTAACATTGTTTTCTTCAGCACCTTCACTGTATCTAGATAATGCCCATGATATGCTCCTGACCCTTTAAATCAACATTGGAGCTATATCCATATAAACCATGTACATCTATATATGGATACAGGAGAGGATTTTGTGCAAGTTGAAGATGGCTGTTCCAAGTGAAAGGGGAAAAGAGAAGATTCTTATAACAAACTGTTTTTCACTGTACAAGATGGAACAAATCTTGCCAATCTGTGTACAAGAAGAATAAGAAGCAACCAAAAAAAAAAAGAAGAAGAAGAGGAGAAAACTCTGTTATGTATAGTACTAGTATACCAAACAATGTTAAATATGAAAGAAGAAGAATAAGAAAGAAACCTCGGGAAAATGTTACATTTCCTTGTGGTTGGTTAACCCTTGGTGATGTCTCTGTCTTCAGGTGAAGACAATCCAATGTAGAAATCATCTCTTGTTCCTGATATATTCACCAACATAGACAGAACCTCTTTCATGTTAGGCCGAGCTTGAGGCTGTTCTGCCGTACACTTCACACCGGCTTTTAGTAGTTCACTCAGTTCCTCTGCCCCGTTCCCGGGTTTTGTCCCGAGAAGCGTAAATGGCGAACCTTTGGTTGAAATGTTACCCGTCATTACCCGTCTCGCCCATTCAACCAGACATTCTTCGCCTCCATCAACCGCCCTTCTCCCCGTTGCAAGTTCCATTATCAATACCCCGTAACTGTAAACATCTCCTCGGGTTGTTGCTTGCCATGTTTGTCCATACTCGGGAGCTACATACCCGACCGTGCCTGCAATCACGGTGCTCACATGGCTATCCCCGACATCTACGAGCCTAGCCAGTCCGAAATCCGTCACTCTTGCATTTCCATCTTTGTCCAAAAGAACGTTGCTTGCTTTCACATCTCTGTGAACAACGGAAGGGTAACATTCGTGGTGTAAGAAAACTAAAGCTCGTGCTACATCCATGGCTATATCGATCCGTTTCTTCCATGGAAGCCTTGTTTTGTCTGAGATGAGCTCCTCTAGGCTTCCTCCTTCCATGTATTCATACACTAGGAGTTTCTCCGATCCATCAAGGCACCATCCGTATAGCCTTACAAGGTTCGGGTGTGCCCAGTCACCGAATGCATTGGCGCTTAGAACTTCCATTTCGGCTCTGAACTCTTTCTCTGCTTCAGTTCCTTCTCTTTGCAGCTTCTTGATAGCAACCTGTCTTCCATCGGGCAGTGTCCCTCTGTATACGGTTCCATATCCGCCTCTGCCTATGACTCGTTCCTCGGAGAAGTTGCTGGTTGCTTTCAAGATATCAGAGTAGGTGAACGTTGATTTGTCAAGGCGAATGACCTTGATTTTACCCGATAGCCATGGCGATGATCCACCCGAGCTGCAAGGCGTGTCATGCCTGTTTTTCTTCCCCTCTAATAGATCTAGCTCTGATTCCCTCGAGCTCCTCGCCACAAGGAAAATGACACCCGACATAACTAAACAAACGATGAATGTGAGTGCAAGAGCCATGAAAGATAAAATCAGAGCAAGACTCCTTTCCCTGTTTCCTGGTTTTTGATGGAACTTCTCAATATTTGTCTGGTTTCCAGTTTGGTTAAAGAAACTGGGAAGCCGCAGCAGTGGATCTCCAAGAAATGAGTCTTTCTCAAATGTTACAAGTTGCCCCGTCGATGGAACCACACCTGAAATGAGAGGGTTGTAAGAGATGTTGAACTTACTCAGCTCAGCCAAGTTATTCAGACTCGAAGGGAAGTTTCCTGAGAAATTGTTGTATGACAAATCAAGATTCTGCAGACACATTAGATTCCCGATTTCTTCTGGAATCTGACCCGAGAAATTATTTCGGGTGAGATTGAGGACCGCGAGCGGCAAGTTTCCTATCTCCGGAGGCAGTTTCCCATCAAACTCATTGAAACCCAAATGCAGCATACTCAATGTCTTCATACCAGAGATACCTCGAGGAACTTCACCAGTAAGCTTATTTCCACTGAGCTGAAGATAACCCGAGATTTGAAACGTGCGCAATGTGGAACCTGTGGAACATACAGGGAAGAGACCGTACCCTTTGAGAACATGATCCCATAGGCTTCTGCAGCTCTTTCTTGTAAGAATTGCATATACAAATTTGAAAGGTGGGAACTCTGCTGGAATCCATCTCTTCATAGCCAAGCACTCGCCAGAACCCGCGATGATCTTGTCAGTATTTTGCCGGTTCACTTCGAATGTCGGAAAAGGATTGCTGCCCATGTTTGTCAATTCAGGTGAAAGTCCACCAGAGAACTGGTTATTTGCCAAGTTCAACCACAAAAGGCTTCTGCAGTTACCGAGCTCTCGAGGAATTTCACCCGATAGAGAGTTGTTTGCAAGCATTAGCCACAAGAGAGAGGTCAAGTTCCCGAACGAAGCTGGTATGGATCCATTCAGCCTATTAAAGGAGAGATCAAGCGCTTGAAGCCCCGATATATTACCATATTCCTGTGGTATAGAACCATCAAATTGATTATACGCAAGAATCAAGAACTTCAAATTCTGCATCTGAGAGACTTCGACGGGTAAGGGGCCGGTAAAATTGTTGTAGCTCAGATCAAGCCGGGAAAGATTAGGTAAAGTGAGGATGTTGGAAGTGTAGAGGCCTCCAACGTATGAGTTCCCGTGCAGAACGAGATATTTCACCCAAGTGAATCTCCCAAATATACTTTGAATGTCTCCTCCAAACTCATTCTTGCTCAAATCCAGAAACACCAAGTTGGTCAAGTTCAAGAGAGTCTCTGGGATGTTTCTTGAGAAACCGTTTTTTCCCAGATATAAACCTCTAAGAGACTTTATTGAGCCTATCTCGGGCGGGATCTGGCCTGTGAACGTGTTTCCCCACAGGTTAAAAACCTTCAGGTTCTGACAATGCGAAACTTGACCCGGGAATTCCCCGCTGAATTCATTCTCCGACAAATCCAAGATTTCCAAAGTGCAGTTACCCCTGAAAACTGTGGCCGGAATATTCCCGGTAAGATTGTTCTCGGAAACTGAAAACTGTATCAGCCTCCCAAAACCATGCCAGACCTCTCCACTGAACCTATTGGAGCTAAAGTCGACATACTTCAGATTCCGACACCCATCAAAGATATTATCAATTCTACCCGTGAAGTTATTCGTCGAAAGATTGGCAACGACCAACTTGTTGCAGATTGACGGGAAACTATAACCGATATCGCCCGCAACCCTATTCAATGACAGATCAAGAACCTCGAGATTTGCCAAACCAGACAACTTTAGCTCTCCTTCAAGAATATTATGAGAAAGATTCAGATGCCTTAGGTTCTGACAACGGCTCAGGTCCTCAGGAATTGAGCCCTTGATCGTGTTCATGGATAGATCGAGATATGTCAGCTGCGTTAAGGCCGAGAAGTTTCCAAAGAGATAACCGGAAATCACGCAATCGCTCAGGTTGACACCGGTGACTCTACTTCCATCGCAAGTAATGCCTTGCCAAAGACAGACATCCTGGTTCTCATTGTTCCATTGAGAGTACTTTCCTCGGTTCATCGGGTTCATAGCCTCGAGATACAATTTCAAACTCAACAGGACTTCTCTGTCACTGTCCAGAGAATCTCCGGCGACTGCTATGGCTGCAACAAAGAAAAACCAGACACAGAAACAATCTTCAGACAAGAATATTATAATCAACCATGTCGGAGTTCTCTGAATTCAAACGTATAAATCCCTGCCCAAGTCCGTGTAACAGAAGAAGCATGAATCGAATTACAAAAATGCATATATTTGTACACAGTACTGTGTTTATATAGATTACAAGGTGATTCAGAAACACGACGAAGAACCCAGAACCACACTTGTTCAACAACTTCGTCTCTGTTGAATTTACTCCAAGAAGGGAAAAAAATCCGAGAACAGTTGTTTGATTTGGTACAGAAACGAAACCCCCAAATCGATTGAAGAACCCTAAAACAAAGATAGCCTGAGCAGAAATTATACGCAAGCAGGGGACAGTGTCATGACTCTCACCAACTCCATTGGAAAAAACAACATAACAAAAAGCAAAACGCGAAATAGGTTACCGGTAACGATGACGAAGATTAGGAAATAGACGAAGCTAAACGAGACAGAATCGTCATCCTCCATGATCACACGCGTCACCATCTCCTTCGTCCTCCTCTTCGTCTTCGATGTTCGTTATCGACAAATAATGGTAATTATTGAAGAGTAAGATGAATTTCATGGAAATTCATGGATGGAAGAATCAAAGAAAAACGCTAAGTTGAAATTTCTGGGTTTTGTGTGATTGTGTTCTGTCTCGGAACGCCATTGAATTTTTTGAAATCGAAAATTGATTCGAAATTCCGAGAGAGAGAGAGAGAGAATCTCACGAGAGGGAAAATGTGATGAAGCAAGAACAGAGCCCATCTGGTGTTGTAGCCGCCATAGCCACGCACCACCACATCTGCCTGCGCTCAACAAACAATCAATCAGATTGAAACAGCTCGAAAATCACGAGATCGGAATCTCGCCGGTGCCGAATTGCAGAGAGAGAGAGAGAGAGAGAGAGAGAGAGAGAGAGAGAGAAGACCCTCACGCACGTAGACTGAAAACAACTGAAACTTTGAACACCAAATTGGTTATTACTGTTTATACTTTTCCCCCGATTTTTTTTAATTAATAAATTAAAATATGTTACTTTCTTTAAAAAAAATAAATTCTATAAAATTGTGAATTTTCGAGAGGATGAGTTTTTTAATAGATACATGAACAATTTTCCCTTTTTCATAAATGAATAATTTCAAATTTGTTATTATTTCAGCTCATAACATGTCTTTTATACAAGGGTTTTCTATATGATCATTTCGAATTGGAATCTTATTGAAGTAAAAAGTGATATATTTATAAGTAGCTATCGGTTAGATTTTTTTTTTGTAATTCAGAATAAATGTAACATTCGTTTTTATAAAGTTTTCAAAAGAATATACTAATATTATTTTATTGAGATTTTACATAATATATATATAGAGAGAGAGAGAGACCATATGATTTAGAATTATATTTTGCCGTACATCTATCTTAGATGAGGTAAACTTAATAATCTTTTTTTTATGAAACTCTAAATTATCAAAGAATTTGATCTTGTTAAATTATCTATATTTTTTTATTCTACTCTGTTTCAATAACATACAGAGGTATGTTTTATCATTTGAAAAATAAAATAGATTTTTTATTATCTATAAAATCTTCAAATAATATATAATCTCAGAATTGTCTTTATCTTATTTTTTCTAATTTTGAACAAATAAATTGATAATCTCCTTCGTTTTCCTTTTCAAAATTTCTCATGTACCCACCATCCTTTCACACACTATTTTCATTTTTTTTCCTTTTTGAAACTAGATAAAACTGAATAAAATAATGTGAAACATCTTTATTTTATTTCTCTGGTCTGAAGAAGAAAAGGCTAATTTAATTATATGCTTTTTTTCATCATTTTCCCAATTACATATTGTGATAATCATAAACATTCTCGTCACACAAATTGATAAATCTATTCCAAATGGTATTTCATACATATATATATATATATATATATATATTATATATATATATATATAACCGTAAACATATATATTTGTAATGTCATATCCGTAAATATTCTGGTCAAATAAATTGATAACACGATTTCGTATTCTATATATTTTTTTTCATTCTTAGATTTATATATTTGTATTTTTATAATCTTAAAGTTTGAGTCTATACAAAAGCATATTCTATATCTTTTTTACTATTAATATATACAAAAAAAAAAGTGTGTTGCATGACCGTAGACATTCTGACCAACACAAATTAATAACTCAATTCGAATCGTATTTTACCCTTTTTGTTATAATTGCATACACACACACACATATATATACATGTACCTATATATGTATATACGTGGTGTTGTCGTAACCGTAGGCATATAAATCGGTAATGTCATAAATGTGGACATTCTCATCAAACAAATGGATTTTTTTTAAAAAAAAAAAAATCGGTGTTTTCATAATTCTAGGGGCATTATTGTCAAACAAATTGACAACTCCATTCGAAAATGGAATTCTATCTGTTATTGCATCATAAGATGGAAGTGTGCATTGGTTCCGTTCCAATTGAAAATTCCTTTCAAGACCGAATTTATAATAAATTCTATAATCATACACATACTATTATTTATGGTTAATTGCAGAACATGTTATCTAAGAAAAAGTTTTATAGTTATTATAATGACGACAGAGGATAGAGTAAGCTTGTGAGTTTATTATTATAGTGCCAAAATTAAAATAGAAATACCAAATAAAAAAAAATGTAACAAAACACCTTTCTTCTTACATTTATTATATAGAAATATTTATGGGATTATTCAGAAGGATTTTATTTAATGATATTAATACATAAAATACACATTTGTATTGTTATTCTAATTAGTAGTCCTGTTATTATTAAAACAAAACTAAGTTATACATTTTTTTCCAATATATTCACACGAAGTTTTCACATTATCATTTTTTATATTCGTGTGTGTGTGTGTATATATATATAAATAAATAAATAAATGGTAATTAGAAGATAAATGGTATAGTAAACTTCTTAATCTAAAGTTTGAATTAGATAACTTATGTAATTTATTTTTGGGTCTACGATAATTAATGTAATTTATGTCTAATACAAAATAAAATAAAATGGAGGAGCCGTCTAAGCCGCCCCAGTTGAACGGTCCCAAAGAGTTTTTGACTACGTGCTCCCTCTTTTTCACGTTTATGGCTATTTTCTTATTATGATTATTCACCGGGGAAATTTTCAATTGCCTTTGAATTATTGATGACATGTAAATATTGTCATATTTTCACATTGAATGTCTAGCACATTTCACGATATTTTGCATATTTATAGATATCCCTTGTACATTTTATTCCGACTTCGATGTTTTTGATATTTTGCAGGAAAATTGAAGCTTTGGACGAAAATGAGGCAATTTCCGAGAAAAAAGACATGACCCGGAACCAACCCGAAAATATTCTGAGTACCAAAGAGTCAAAGAGGAAATGCTTGCCCGATGTTGATATTACGAGTCCCATAACTTTTGCAATACAGATCCATATCATGCGTACTATACAGCATTGGAAAGCCTTTTTCAATAGCTACGAACGGACACAAAGATCACTCTAATCAGATATTGCATTAGAAAGTTATGGTGAAAATACTATGAGCATATGTTCTGACGACGAACTGTGCACGAGTGTGCTATTACGAGCTACATAACTTTCTCCATACAGGTCCAAATGATGTATGCGATACATCATTGGAAAGATATTTTCAATAGCTACACGTGGATACCAAGATCACTTCAATCCGACATTGGAGCCGAAAGTTATGAGAAAAACAATATGACTATGTCATTTGGTGGCGACAAGAAAACACATTTTCCTCAAAACACGGAGCTCGGGAATTATGGAGGAAAATGAGGAGGAAAATGGGGAAATGTCTTGCTTCTTTTCTTGGCTATAAAAGGGGCACGAAGGGGAGGCTTAGAGGCATCATCCAACACATTAGAGAGTGAGTTTGAAGAGTGAATTGAGAGCTTCTTGAGAGAGATCCAAGGAGGAGTCAAGAGAAGAAGAAGAAGAGGAGGAGGAAGAAGAAGAGTCCTGCAACTATCACTAAGCATTCTATTCCCTCTCTTTTAATTCTTGTCATGAACTTCTATTTGGATGTTGTTTGTATGTTTCCCATGATGTGTGAGTAGATTTATCATTGTAGGTTAGGGATTAAGGTTGTGTAAGGATCATGTGAACATAACCTATCTTTGAAACTATGGGTTTTATAATTTGGTTTGAATGAATGAATCTTAATGCTATGAATCTTGTTGGCCACTTGATTTGTTGAACCTAGAATTTAGTTTGCATAGAGATATGGAACTAAGTTTGGAACTCTTTCATTTGAATAGATGAACATTGCATTGAGAAATGAATGAACATCTAGGGATCATGATGGTGGATTTAATGCTCTTAAGAGTTTCAATCTATTTAGAATCGAGAGATCGGTAGGTTGAACTCTTAGGAAGAGAGGTGAGACTCGAGAGAGTAATCCTCTATAGCAAGAACTTGAATTTCCCGAATCATAACTCTAGTTACGAAGATATATCCGTAGAAGCGATCCTTACATAACCCGTAATTCCCGACACCTACGATGTTTTATAGAATTGTGCTAAGTCTTTGCTTGTATTTGCTTTAATTCGTGTTTACTTTCAGTTATAATCATCACCATCATCATTATCGTCTCCGACCGAAACCGAGTAATAATCGTAATTGTTGTCGTTAAACCACACGTGTCCTTGTGTTCGACCCTAGGTACTACAATTGATCCGTACACTTGCGGTGATTGTATTTAGGAATTAAAACAAGATTAGATCACATCCTAGATCGACATCAAGTTTTTGGCGCCGTTGCCGGGGACACAACGGTTTTAGCGATACGATTAGGAAACTACTTAGTTTGGGTCATTTTTTTTCTTTGGTTTGATTTGGTCCTCATCTTTTTTCCGTTGTCGCTCTCTTTGATTTGAAGATTCTTTGGTGTATGACAAGGAGTTCTGGGTCGCAAAACCTAGTTCCCTTGGATCCCGAAATAGAGAGAACCATAAGACAAAACTTGAGACAACACCGAGAAGAGATGGGAGATCACGACGTTGTACCCGCACCGGGAAATGCGCACATAAATGAAGAAACCTTCGCGCAATACAACGCCCCACGACATACTGAGCTCTTATCCGGCATTCGGATGC